AATGAAATACAGCCCAGATATAGCAATACATGCTTTTCATCATGGTAATTGTGTTGCAGTATTGATGGCCTAAATCAACCCATACATTTTTTACTTTACAAATGTGTAAGTAAATGAAAAGCAACAAGAGAAAGAACACAAAAAAATTAACTTTTTATAACAAGAACAAATGATATACATGAATAGTTAATAGGAGTTACTTCCCTTTGACTGGAATTAAAATCTTTACTAATGAAATGATTTTTATTTTTTTTATCTGAGCTCATAAAAAGTTGAATGAGCGTGGCACTCAAAATGTTAACTATGAGAGTTGAAAGAATTCTGTAAAGCTGAAAATGTTGATAAATATTACAGAACATTCACTCTTTCAACTTTTCTGAAGCTGCAAGTTTAATTAGTCTTTGTTGCTTTTAGTTGAATAATGTAATGTTTAAGTTTTGTAAGATTCAATAGTGTGAGTGAATAGTTTTTAGTAAGTTCCACAAAAAGTTAGTGAGTGGTTTAGTTGAATGTTTTAGCTTGAATCATATTGAAGTTATTTCATGTTGAAGAACTTAAAATTCTAACTTCACTGCAGCAATGATACAAGTGTCATGAACTAGTTTAGCAAATGCTAATTTATAAATTGTCACTGGCAAGGTTCATTTGTACATTCTATTTATGTTTTCTAGTTATGTGACAGGCTCCAAAAAGCATTTGTTTTTTTGGGGGGGTTTATTTCTGTCAGGTCGATCGATGTTCAAACATAATTGAGGTTTTCTGAAATTATGTATGAAGCTGGATAAGCTCTGTGATTCACTTTTTGCACAAAAATTGACATTGATAAAAAAAAAAGTGGTAGCAGAATGCTAAAATTGTATAACATGATTTTCAATTACGATCATTAGTGACATTAAAAAGGATGAAATGTTTCAAAGTTTATCAAAGATTTTTCATCATCTGTATTTAATACTCTTATTGCCAGTCAATTCTCCAGCATAAGTCTCCATGAAGAAGTATCTATCAAGAAAATGTTACTATATCATGGCAAACAACTATTTGCTAAGTCAGTTGACAATCCATCTTTACTTGCTCAAACAGTACTTGATATCATGTTGATATGTCTTAATGGGGGTCCAAGATTGATTCCAATTTCATAAATCTTTATAGTAGTATATAGATAGATAAATGTGTATTTTGTTAAATATGATGGACAAGTGTTTTGTTAGTTTTCCATTTTACTTTTGTCCATACAAGATGTCAGGATCAATACAAATATGAAATTTGTCACTAAACTAATTTGTTATATTCAGTACCTTAATTCCAGAGTTTCATAGATTAACTATTTTGTAATTGTTTAGTCCACTTGTCAGGAGGTTTCAGCAATTGACTACAGATTCTTTTTTAGTATTTTTAAACTAAGTTAAAAATTAATTTATTTTCTATTTATTGATGTTGGAGAGAAAAAAAAAACAAAAAACCATAACACTACACACACACACACACACACACACACACACACACAGGTTATTTCTTAATTTTCTTTTCTACTTATACTTTCCCCTTTCTCCCTTGTTATAAAAGTTGTATTTAGACAGAATCCTTTTAAACAAGTTTTGTTGAATATCAACAAGTTTGGTCGATCCAGTATTTTTATTTCTTTCAAAATTCTAAATAAGTTGTTTTATACATTCAGTAAATTTCCCAAACTTCTTTTTTCTTTTTTTTTTCCTGGGTATTTTCAAATGTTGATACATTCGGTGGCAAGGATTTTGGTTTCTTGTCTGTTGATATTGTTAAGAGAATCTATTTTTAGGAATTAAACTTTTCTGCATTCTGGATTATTTGATGTGGTCGGATGACCTTACAAAGAGGAGGTCTTTCATTTGGGTGTTATTCATTGGTTGACACCAAAATTAAGCAAGTTGGATCGCAAAGTCAATTATTGCAGAAATCTTCTTCAGAGCAGTCCGTTTACTACATTATGGTAGGAAAATTCTATTAGTATAAAGTGTGTATTTGCCACACAGAGTTTACTGATTATTCTATGTTAGGTAGAATAACGCGTTCTAGCCTTCAGTAGCACACCGATACTAATATTAGCATTAGCGTAGCCATTGATACACTAACACTGAATGCGAATATGAAAAGACGAAATACGCGAGCGTAACCAATGAAACATTTAATGTGGCAAGCATCCTTCGTAAATATATACACAAGATTTATACATGTCCCAAAACAAATAAATGTCCATATTGTCCCAAAGGAATGAGGAGGTTAAACAGAATTAGTACAAAGATATCACCTACCAATTTCATGGCCTTTGGTCGTCCACAGATGAGTGAATGAGTTCGTTGCGTTAGGCCGTACCCATGTTGACCAGTTTCCACGTGTGTGGACGCTCTGGTGGTCAGGAAGGAAAAGAGATCATTCCTCCCAAAACGGAAGTGACGACAAAAAAAAGGCAGAAGAGTTCTACTCACTAAAAGGGGCCACAACTCTCATGGGCTAATGCAAAGAGAAAACAACTGTGGTCTCCCTACAAGTACCCCCTCCCTAGACAGGTTCATTAACCTGCACTAGCGATACAACTAAAATGTAACAAAAACAAAACTTCACAACATGTATTACAAATTTAAAGAAACATAATGAAAAAGGAAGAGTTCAATGTGGAGGGAAGAATATCCTCCTGTTATAGTTCTGCTGAACCCAAAACCTGAAAATGACTTATGTCAATAAATGTTTGGGCCATCTAACACGGCCAGATCTGGTCACAGTCTCTTTCACTACCCCTGGTTATGGAGTAGTCACTGAAGTGTCCATGCTGAGCCAGGTAGTGTCCAAAAAGGCAGGCTTTAATCTGTCAACAGTAATGCTTTGTGTTGCATTGTTAATGCTCACCATAAAATACTTCAAATGCCTCTCTAGGACTTTGAAGGGTCCTCTGTAGGCTGGCTGCAATGTGTACGACTTAGCCACGTCCCGCACAAAAACATGTGTGCATGTCTGCAGTAGTTTAGGCACATATATCTGTCGTTGAACCTGTGCAGAAGACTTATATGCCAAATTCGCCATGCTCGCGGTAAGCCGATCAACGAACGAGGTCAAGTTCAAAACTTTTTGTGGTTGTTGCAGAAAAAATTGTCCTGGGAGTCTGAGTGTGGTGCCATAAACTATCTCAGCAGATGAACATTTAAGATCGTCTTTAACTGCAGTGCGGAGTCCCAGAAGAACCAACGGTAGATGCTCCAGCCAATTTACCTGATCTGTCACGGCACTTAAAGCTGATTTAAGTGTACGGTGAAACCGTTCCACTAAGCCATTAGCCTCGGGATGATAAGCGGTGGTTTTGACTCTTTTACTCCCCAAGATCCTCATCAGTTGGTTGAACAGGTCTGACTTGAATTGCCACCCTCTGTCTGTAGTAATTGAGGCAGGGACCCCAAAACGGGAAACCCATCCTGAAACAAAAGTCTTTGCCGTAGTATGTGCCGTAATGTCTGACATGGGCAGAGCCTCACACCAACGGGAGAAACGATCAACACATGTCAATAGATATGTCTTTCCCTCACATGAAGGGAGTGGTCCTGTGATGTCCACGTGAACATGTGCAAACCGCTCGTCGGGTGATGGAAAGGATCCAGGAGGTGAACGGGTATGTCTCCCGACTTTGGCCCTCTGGCAGGGCACACAAGTCTTTGACCATTGTCGAATGTCAGTTTTCATGCGTGGCCAAACAAATCTGTCTGTGATTAGCCGTATTGAGGCATTAGCTCCTGGGTGGGATAAATTGTGCATGGAGGAGAATAGCGTCTTCCGCATTGACTCAGGCACGAAGGGGCGAAATCATCCGGTGCTGGTGTCACATACAACTTCCAATTCTGTGTTTGGAACAGGTATTTTCGACAACATCAAGGATGTGTTGTTCTCTCGTAGCAGGTGCTGTAGTTGCTGATCCTTCTCCTGTGCTTCCACAAATGATTGATGTTCCAAGCACGGATCCAGCACAAAAGCATTTATGCCACGAGACAGTGTCTGCAGGTATGCTGTCTGTTCCCTTGACGAAACTGATATCTGATGTGAATTGTAACAGATAATCCAAGTGTCTGGTTTCACATGGGGAATACTTGTCAGAGTTTGACTGAAAAGCCCCCAACAAGGGCTTGTGGTCTGTCAGTAGGTAGAAAGTCCGCCCTTCCAACAAATGTCGAAAGTAACGGGCCGCTAAATAAGCTGCGAGAAGTTCACGTCCAAATGTGCTGTACCTGGATTCTGTAGAAGTTAACTTCTTGGAAAAGAAAGAAATTGGTTTCCAGTGGTCATCAATCTTCTGCTGTAGTACTGCACCCACACCAATCGAAGAGGCGTCCACTGCCAAACACAACTCGCTACCTGAGACAACATGTGACAATTCAACTGCTCGGGATAATAAAACCTTAATTTGGTGGAAGGCTGCCAAAGCTTCATCAGACAAAACTATGTCACAATTTTTGACATCAGTTAGAATATCTGTTAGAGGTTTTATAACCTGCGCACAATTTGGCAGGAACCTTCGAAAAAAATTTACCATCCCTAAAAACTGTCGCAACTTTCTCATGGTATCTGGCACGGGAAAGTCAGAAATGGCCGCCGCTTTAGATGGAGAAGGTGAAACTCCCGCTGAATTAATGCGGTGACCTAGGAAAATAACTACAGACTTTCCAAACTCACACTTTACTGGGTTGATAACAACCCCAAATTTCTCAAAGCGCTCGAAAACGAGCTGTAAATGTTCAATATGTTCTTCCATGGAAGAACTGGCTATAAGTACATCATCCACATAGGCACAGACTAAATGCAGATCGTGCAATACATGGTCGATAAACCTCTGAAAAGACTGTGCTGCGTTTCTTAATCCAAATGGCACATGCAGAAACTCAAACAACCCAAATGGTGTTGCTATGGCAGTCTTTGGAATGTGATCAGGTTCTACCGGTATTTGATGGTAGGCCCTGATAAGGTCTAATTTAGTAAATATGCACTTATCCTGAATGATGGCCGTTACGTCATGTATATGAGGAATGGGATAACGGTCAGGTTTAGTGGCAGAGTTGAGTGCCCTATAATCCCCACAAGCTCGCCAGGTACCACCACTTTTGGATACCAGGTGTAAAGGAGATGCCCAGTTACTCTTTGATGGCCGGATAATACCAAGTTCCATCATTTGGGTAAATTCTGTTTTCGCTAAACTCAATTTTTCCGGTGCCAGACAGCGAGGACGGCTGTGAACAGGAGGACCGCTAGTAGCAATGTGGTGTGTTATATTGTGGGGTAAACTATCTTTATGAAAAGCCGGTTTAGTAATACTCTCAAACTTTTGTAAAAGTTCACAGAACATAGGGTTATCTTCTGTGTTAGCCACAGTAGGACATAATGGAATTACATTATGAATGGCTCCCGGCGATTGAGTATTTGTCTTAGGGTCTGTCAGACAACGTCTGTGAACATCAACGAGAAGACCAAATTTGTGTAAAAAATCTGCACCCAATATGGCCTTCTCTACATCCGCAAGGACAAAGAAATGGGTGAAAACCCGTCTCAGACCCAAATTCAATGTAAGGCACCTCTGACCATAAGTCTGGATGAGCGACTTATTAACGGCCTGTAAAGTAAGTTTGTGAGGGCCTTTTAACTTGTCTGCCCTAGTGGCAGGAATTAAAGATATTTGCGCACCACTGTCCACGAGAAAACGTATACCAGTAGTGCGGTCCGAAACAAATAGTAAGCGACAAACCTCTCCCACGCCGGCGCACCGGGTCGCCAGCCTAGGCTTTTCCCTGTTGCGAATTGAAGGAACAGGGGGGCTTACAATAATTAGCCCTATCTCCGAATTTCCTGTGTAAGTAACACATTGGGTCCTTGCTAACAGCTTTTACACGACCTCTACTTTGGGAGCGGTGAATGCTAACCTTCTGCAACCGTCTCTCTAAGTCTTCCATCCTAGCCTCTAACCTTCGTTGTCCCTCCAAAAGTCTAGCCAGTGGATCTGGCTCTTGCGTCTGTACGGCAGAAACGGGAGCAGTGCATCCCGAAGTTAGGTCAGCTACATTATCTGCTATTTCAGCCAGCTTTTCGACAGGTGCATCTTCACCCACCGCAGCTAAAACAGCGTGATATGCAGGGGGCAAACGCTGGAGAAAAATATGACATATAATGCCATCCTCATTACTTTCTCCGGCTAGATGTTGTAAACGACGTAAAAATTGCGATGGCTTGCTGTCTCCCAATTGTTCCTCATGCAAAAGCTGCGACAATTTCTTTTGCCGGGACATAGACGTCCTCCGAATAAGTTCCTCCTTTAACTTGTAATATGGCTTGTCTTTTGGTGGAGAGATAATAATTTCGAGAGGCAACTTGGAGACCGCTAAATTAAATTTTGTTTTCTGAGAGGTAATTCCTCTCAGTTCGCACTCTGACTCTAACTGTGCGAAAAATAAAGCTGGGTCCGCTTTAAAGTAGGCTAAGCTGACAGTGTTCACTGCGGACACTGCAGCCGTTTTTTCCTCATCCATATCGTATATTCTCTATGGAGATAGTTAGCACATAGAAATACGCCTCACAATGCGAAGTACCACAGAGAAAGAAAAAAAAAAAGGAAAAAACAAACAAACGTACCTAAATATTTTAAGCAAAAAGTCAGAAATGGCTATCACTGCTATTACCACTCATGGGTGTTGTGAACTCTAGCAGTAAGCTACTGACCAGTGTGCCTCCAAGGGTGAGGCAGTCTAATGTTGCAGGCCGGCGCCAAATTCAAATATAGGATGGGAGAAAAATCACACGAGGGAAAGGGAAGCCATGTTGTCATGTTATACAAGTCGTCATTCCTATATCGCAAATTATTTGTGTCGAAAGAAAAAAACACTCTCTAACACACGAAATTAACATTAACAGTTATTTTGCAAATTGCAAAAAATATACTGCCACGTTGGAGTCACCGCTTATTAGTATAAGGTATGTATTTGCCACACAGAGTTTACTGATTATTCTATGTTAGGTAGAATAACGTGTTCTAGCCTTCAGTAGCACACCGATACTAATATTAGCATTAGCGTAGCCATTGATACACTAACACTGAATGCGAATATGAAAAGACGAAATACGCGAGCGTAACCAATGAAACATTTAATGTGGCAAGCATCCTTCGTAAATATATACACAAGATTTATACATGTCCCAAAACAAATAAATGTCCATATTGTCCCAAAGGAATGAGGAGGTTAAACAGAATTAGTACAAAGATATCACCTACCAATTTCATGGCCTTTGGTCGTCCACAGATGAGTGAATGAGTTCGTTGCGTTAGGCCGTACCCATGTTGACCAGTTTCCACGTGTGTGGACGCTCTGGTGGTCAGGAAGGAAAAGAGATCGTTCCTCTCAAAACGGAAGTGACGACAAAAAAAAGGCAGAAGAGTTCTACTCACTAAAAGGGGCCACAACTCTCATGGGCTAATGCAAAGAGAAAACAACTGTGGTCTCCCTACAATTGCTTCCTCAGTGGATCATACAATTCAGTGTCTTCGCTATAATTTTAGCACTTGTAATTTTAATCTAATATGTAAATATATTGGTAACCTTGATAGTGTGAGGACCTGCCAGATTGATATTCATATTATTAAGCCTTCCATATGCCTGGCAACCATATTTTATTAACATGCTAAATAATATTTTGCCCGAGTCCATAGGTACGTTGTCATACTTGACTATACATATCTTGAAACTATTGTCAAAAGGAATACTCATGTACTTAGATGAGATATCCTGTGAAAATGTTCATTCTATTTTTATCACTAAAAGGAGCAGGTAACTGAAGTTATGTCCCTTGTACTATTTACTGTCTTATGTTCATTCTGCTATAGTCATAGTTGAAATCCAGAAAATGATTAAGAATTTGGAATGTGGAAATTTCTCAGTGAATATTCATTGAGAAATTTCTACCTTCCAAATTCTTAATCATTAAATAGATTGCCAAAAGTTCTCTGGAAAAGATACTGTAGTTCCTTTGAACTGTTGTACCGTTAAGCAGATACAAAACCAAAGCTGTCACTTTTTTGAATTTCAAAGGTGAGATTCACTATATTCTGTTTAATTTTGGAGAGGACATGGAATCTTTTTTTTTTCTTGTTCCAAAATAAAGAAAATCGTAGGCATAGATATTCAAGATGAGCATGGACACTTGAGGCATCAATTTATTGCATATGGAGATGAAAAACCTAATTTTGTAGCAACAAGGTGTGTGTTATTGTGGAAGCTACTAAAATTCAAGATGGATAATCAGTCACACAGTAACAAGACGTGTGATGTATCTTAAGCAAAAGCAATTGATATACTTTGACAAGATGATTAAATAGTCAATGTTATTCATCTATTGTGAACCTTTGTCAATTTAAAAGAAACCTCCAAAGAAAACTCACTTTAAAGTGAAATTATATTACATACGTTGGGTTGTTATTGCAAAACCTCTCTGTACCTTGGGGAGTACCCAAATATATAAATGTGGGGTACAAAATAATGTTCACAACAAACGTTACATTTAAAACAATTCAAGAACAGCTTGAAGACGAAATGGCAATGACCTTAAGAAAAGCGTTATTCAATAAAAGAAACCTACACTATTGGTGTCTCTCCACATCAATCTCTTCTCCAAAATCCATCAGAATATATATAAGAGAAAAAGGTATGTTCCTTTGCATACAACAATTTACATACAAAGCACAAAGTAAAAGTTCATTTCATAACACATAGTACTTACAAAGAATGATTGACTTAAAAGTAAACATTTCTACAATGTGGAAGAAAATATATCACCTGTCATTATTATAGTTCTTATACAACAAGTGTACGAGTCTGGATGTTGGTTGTAACACATCCAGTATCTAACATGCCTAAAGCTCTGATTTATTCGCTTGGATACCAAGGGCAATAACTCACCTGTATTATCTGACTGCTATGAGAAGTGTTTTATATAAATCCCTACACATATGTGATAAGAAACGAACAATATGGGAGCCTACAATAAAAAGTTCTGACAAAATAGTTTGGAGAATGGGAACTGAAGAAACAACTGAAAGGTTAGCTGGGTTGTGCATCCAGACAAATTGAATGCCAAAAATTGAAACTTAAATGTAAGCGTCCCAATAAAAACCTTATTTAGGCTAAAGAAATCCATTTTGTCATTCGATACTTTCTAAGCTATAATGATAAACAAGTTAGATCTATGACAATGCTTCATCATTGAATATGCATGGTCTCAACCAAGAAAATTCAATGCAGTAATATGTTCTTTCAGTTCATCAACACATCTTCTTTTTTTCTTCTTATGAAAAGTGGCTGTAGTCTTAATGTTGCTGAAATTATAGCCATTTCCAACTCTAACAAAAATTTTGTATGTTCATGTACTGAATAGTTTTAATATTAGACTTTCAGAACCATTTTCTCTAAGAGAAGGTCTTTGTTTCCTCACTGAATATGAACGTTCTTAGTTTCTAAGCAATTTTAACCCTAACCAAACTAAAGTCTTTTTGAACATAACATGCTTAGTTGCTCTGTTGGATGTTTTCAGAAGAGGCTGACTACATATTTGTAGATTGGGTAACACAACTCGGTAAGTGCTATATCAAGTTCATGTTTGATGCGGACTGCTATAGATTCCTATTTTTGCAATGTACATCTGATCCTACCATGTCCATAACCTTCTTAATTGATCCATCATGTTGTCAAGTGTGATATCATTTAATGTTGCTAGAATAAACCTTTCATTTTCTTTGGTTATATTAGTACTTTTTAAAGTTTGATAAGTCTTCCTGATCCTGTATTAGCCTATCTTTTACACCTTAAGCTGTTGTACTAGCCTTTCCTCCAGTCCAAGAACGGTTGTTTCTCTTACTGATCGCCATGATAATGTGCAAATATCTGATGTAATTTTCCACTATTTGCAGGGCTCTAAAACATGTGGAAGGCAGAAGTCAACCCCATTATGCTGCCATGATAGAAAAAGGATGCAGTTGGGGAAATGAGATTGGTGATGTGTGTGCCAGAAGATGAATCTCTTCTACGGGGATTCGAGCACAAAAGTAAGTAGCCACTTGCTGATGGGAAAGTGATTGTGGCCATCATCAGTGAGTGGGGACACAGTGATTCAGTGAAGGACTCACAATTTTATGTGTACTGTCTTCCTGCAGTGTAATTCACCTTAGCTTGACATTTTTCGTTGAAGGTGTCCGACAACTTGGCGCGATGTTGGGGAATTGCCTTTTTCCCTTTCCAAGGCAAATTGCTGTCAGGACTTCAACGATGGGGTTGGGTACCTGGATTTTTGACCACTGTTTTGCCCTATTGATGTTGCCTGGTGCCTCGCTTCGTTTGGACAGTCCGTTTTCACCTGCTACTTACCCCTACTACAGGGGCATGAGAAAGACCAAGGTGGTGGTCTATGAGGTGAAGGGCGAGGTGCTGGCTGCTTATTTTAAGCAGTTTGGTCAAATCCTCAGTCTCCTCTCATGTTAAGCTCAGAGAGTGGAGCTTCAACATCAGGCTGTGCAGGCAGGCTTTTGACGATATTCCCAGCATGTTGGACATTGATGGGTGAATGCTACTCACGTTTGTGACAGGTAGAAGGCCAACATGCTGGAAATGTGGCAAGACTGATCATTTGGCCTCTGTGTGCCCACAGAAGATGGCCTTGGACTGCTGACCTGCATGTGCTGATAATGCCCCTGTGTTTTCCTGCAACCAAGACAAAGGACAGGTAGATTGGCAGGTTGTGGTCAAGGAAAGGTGTAAGCAGAAGCATGTCCAACCAATAACCAAGACACAAGGATTTCTAGCCCAAACGACTAAGGGTGATGACTTGGCCACAGCCTCCTGGTTGGAGAACGATCCGTTGTATGAAAAGATTCAGCAGGTTAGAAAGCTGGAGAAGCAGCTGGTCTCATCACCACCAACATTGTCAAGAAAGACTGTTCACCCCTCATCCTCTGCCCTATCTTCCCCATCCAAAATGAAGAAACAATTGTCTCCTTTAAGAGCCCATTCAACCTCTCCTCAAAGGATGACATATCACTGGTGCACAAGGGAGAAACCCTCTGTAAAAAAAGAAAAAGACTGTGCACCACTGGAAAAGAGACTGAGGAACCCTTCAGAGGATGCCGGCGGGAAGGAGAGAAAGGCAAAACTGCTCTATAACATGGGAAAGAATGTCTGCCATATGAAATCATGGAGAGGGCCAAAACATTTGGCAGGAGGACTAGTGATTTGAAAGTCCTGGCCACAAAGAAATGCTGGGACAAGTATCTTGAGGACCCTATGAACTTTCCTCATGTCAAGATGGTCCTGACTGTCATGTGCATAAGTTCAGGATCACAGCAGGCATGGGGCATGATTGAAGAGGCGAAAAATACTTTCAACGAGAGACCTCAACGATCATTATCACTGAAAATGATGAACTGAAAAAAATGAAACAATTTTGTGCTGGAAGGGTCCCAGTTTTGGTTCACCTCTCCCTCTATAGG